AAGGTTTAATAGATAATAATTTTATTGCTGTTTATTTTTAGGTATTTGATAATTAGTCTTATAATTTTGACTATTATTCATGGATAATTTAGAAATAATGTTTTAACTTCTCAATATATAAAAATTTGTATTCTTTCTTGTTGGTTTTATTTCATTTTCTATAGTCGAATGTCTATTCTTAATATAGTAATTCTTCAGAATTTGAAATTTTCTTTTGACATATGTATTAGGTTGGTTAATAGTAACTCTGAAACCTCAGAAGTTTAATGAAACGTTTACTTTCTGAATAACAGGAAATCCAAATCAAATGCTCTAAATAAGAAGTATCTTCAGTATTCTAAGATATTCCTGTATGTTGGCAATCTACTGCAAGATGGGAAAATATCTGGAGAATTTTCGCTTAAATTTGTATGTGCGGAGCTTGAAAACAATTTTATCACTTGCTCCCACATTCCGCTGGTCAAGACTCAGTTTGGTAAATACCTAACTGTAGAGGAGACTGCAAATGACCACTATGCAGGAGGACAGATATCTACATAGGAGACAGCCAAGCCTTGTCAAACATTTTAAAAGGTCCATAACTATTGGAAGAAAACTTAATTTGTTATGTGTAGATTTTAATATATGCTTAAGGTCCTTCATTGTCGTCTACATATCTGCAATCTTTTAACATCTTTTTAAAAATATTTATCATACTGTAAGGGAAATATATTAAACTTATTTATGATCGTGGATATTGTGTCAATGATTTTTCTGTCTCTTTTTTTAAATCTGAGGGTTATTAGTCTCACACAATTGCATTGTTCATTTATATTATGGTCTATTACTTCTGTCATCATATTTTTCATACTTGTTAACTTTTTTTCACTTTCCAATAAGCTTGTTATATTGTCTTAGGTTAATTCTTTATGAAGTGCTTATGAGATTAGATTTCAGTATGCTCAGCATAATCTTATTATTTGAAGGGGTCCCATTGGTGCAGTAGGTAGCGCAAAAGTCTCATGCTTTTGATAATGTTTTACTGATTTATTTTATTATTATTAATCATTATTTGCTGTCATTACTGCTGTTGTTGCTCTGCCCTATATTTTGCTTCTTTTTCCTTTTAGGTTGCTTGTGCTGAATCAATGGAATTTCATTTATTCTGCTTCTTGATTTGAAAATATAGATGCTAAATACTGAATTAATCTCTTAAGAGCTACACTCCAATATCTCATAAGAAAGTTTAAAGTTACCACATATGTGTGTGCACATGTATGTAACAAAGACCTTGGCAATGATTCTTTATATTTAATCACTTTACAGATTTTTTTTAACTTTCAGCTTGCACTTTTTTTAAACATGAGTACTCCTTTCTTTTTGACCTTGAGCTTGTTTTATCATGTTCAATTTTATTATTACTATGTTTAGTTCTTTCTGAAATTCTACCTAATTTCCTGTTTTGTCTTTTTTCCACAAAATTTCATTTCAGCTAAAGATGTGAAAATATTAATAATGGTCACCAAGGTCTGTGGAGAGCGGTGGCTAGTTTATTTTTCTTGCGATATTATCCCAGATATTTGTTCTTTATTTTCTGAAGTTTCTTTTTTTTTTGTTCACAATATTTTATATTTTCTTGGAACAAGAGACAAATAGGTCACATTAATAAGGAAAATTTATCTAACTTATTTTGAGATGTTATAACTAATTGATTAAAGAATTTGTGATTTGGCCTGCTGAATGCAGAAATTTTATCCAAAACAGTTGTACATCAGAATTTTCTTGAGAAGACTAGATTTTTAAACTCTATAAAGTATACAAGTATAAAAATTAATATGTAGAAAGGTATGTAATGTTTTATTCCAAAACCTCACATCTAAATGTATTTGTGTGCCTACTCACTTATGTGTTTAAATATGAATAAAAATAATAGAAGATATAGCATACATTGGTAAATGAATTTCCCTAGATTCAGTGGGTAGATCTGCAGAAGATGACAAGAAAATGTGCCAGCTGACCTGACAATATGTATGCATATAGTACAACACCATAATGTATAACAAATATGAGGTGTGGTCAAAACATGGAGGACTTTTCATTCAAAAAATTATTACAGAAAAAGATACATTCTCACTAATCCACATGAAAATATTTTTGCTTTGAACATAATTATCCCACCATTCTTGAAGCGTGCTTTCTCTCTCTCTCTCTTTCTCCCTCTCTTTCCTTTCTTTCTTTTTCTGGTATTTTTAATTGCACTGTCCTGACTGCCTCCAAGTCATGAACTGATTAAAATATGTTCACCTTTTGTTGTCATTTTGATTTGAGGAAAGAGCCAAAAGTTCCACGTGCAAGATGTAGCGAGGAAGGCGGATGAAGACACATTGTAATGGTTTTATGACCTTGGCTTTCCATTGGATGACACTCAGCACCATTCACTGTAGTGTGATCACATCTCATAAAGACACTCACAAAGAAAGCCTCAGAAAGTGGGAAAACCCTGAGCATTGTATATGTACTGCTATAATCCCAGCACTTGGCAGGCTGATGCAGGAGCATCACCACCAGTTTAAGGCTTACCTGGGTTACATAGTGAGTTCAAGTCCAGTCTAAACTACATATTGAGACCTTGTCTCAAAGCAAACAAAAATGGGAAGAATGATGACATAGGAGTTTAAAGTCAGAAGGAGTTTTCTGGGGGAGAGATAATGTTAATGTGTCTTACTGTACTAAATTTTTAAAAATCAAAACTCACTGCAGTTTTTGACCACACCACTACAATATGGTAGGTATTGAAATAAAATACTAAAACAAAGAAACCTCCAAACCACCACAGAATCTCATAAATGTATTATTTCATTTATATAATTCTTTAATTAAAATAAAACAACAAAGGTAATAATTGAATATAAACAAATTTAATATATTGAATAAGATTTGGAGGAGATGAACCTTAAATCATTGCAAAATAATAGTTGTCTTATAGGACTGTCATCTGGGAAGTTTTTATTCTGAATTCTGCTTTCCCCCAAGTAACTTCTCATTTATTCAATATCGCACTAATGTAACAACAATAAGGAAGCAATCAGAGGATCACAGTGTGTAGAAGAGTTGTAAATACTTCTCTCCACCACTGAGCCAGAACACATGTAACTAATTCCTGCTGGTAAACAGTGGTGTTTCTCTTCTGAAAGAAGCTTCCAGGGGAGGAAGGGAGGAATGGAAAGTTCATGAATTTCAGAGTTAAGAAGACTTGTGTAACTTCAGGCTTTACCATGTACTAGCTGTATAATTAAGAGTATGTTAATCATATTTGTTTATCATCTGTTCATTAATTATCATAAAGGCATATCTATATAAATGTCAGCATCATTCAGATGATTTGATCACTAGGTCAGACACTAGAGCAGTAGGTTGCAGCCTAGTACCTGTGATCTTCAAACTGATCTTTCTGTACTTTCTTCCTTAAAATGAAGACATTATTAAAATATTGTATATGTAAAGCACTTATTATAATACTAAGCATATAAAATAGATTTAATAGAAGTAACTAAAAGTGAAAAATTAATACTCAATTTCATCTTGATTCACAGATTGAGAAAGAAATGATTGAGACAAATCTTATTTACCTAGGACTTATATTAGAACTTTTTCTGTGTATATTTGTTATACAAGAAATACTAAATATACAAGGTGTAATAAAAATCTATGATGAATGTGTAAATTTAAAAATCACTACAAGACACATTGCCAGTCATATTTTTAGCATACTCCTGAGCCTCACTTTGAAAAACTTCTCCCATGATCTTTGCCACTTCTGAAGCATGTCAGGAAGTTTTCTTTCATAGATGTCCTTATGAAGTCTGAGCAAAATACGGTGAGTGCTGCTGCATGCATTCAACACAAAAGCAGGCTGGTAAAAACGTTATGGAGGGGCTGGGGATATAACTCAGTGGTGCAGCACCTGCCTGGCAGGTGTGAGGTGCTGAGTGCGATTCTTGGTAGACTCCTCCCACTCCCCCCCCCCAAAAAAAAACCCAACACAAGTTATGGAATGGCTTCATCCATTTATTTACTAAACGTATGCTGTGTGAATTCTGGCTCTTCCTCAAAGTCAAAATAATCAGGAGTAATAACATTTTGAATACATTCAGGACACTGAGGCAGCCAGGATCAAAGATGCTGATGGAAAAAGACTTCCAGAATTTCTTTAGTGGCAAGAGTGATGAAGTAAGTGTATCGGAAGCAAGGGGAATATTTTGAGGGGATTAGTGTAAATATGTTTTTACTATAAGTTTTCAAATTTAAACATTCTCCATATTTTTAATCATACATAGTATATCAAGGAGACTGTTCATATGGAGCCTAGGTACTCTACATTTATACACACAACAATAAACCTAGTAATAAATCTAGTAATACATATGTTAGTACCAAAACTGCATATATATATATATATATATATATATATATATATGCATTAAAATGAAGTAAAAACTGGGCCTAGAAACATAAAAGTTGTCCTATTCACTATTAAGTTTTTTATTATTTACTATTTTTATTATTACATTTATTTTCTTTATATTTTTAATATTTTAATTATATTATTATAATTATATTTTTAATTAAAATATTAAAAATTAATTTATTATATATTTAATTATTATACTATTTATCATGTTTATTATATTTTATTATTTTATCATATTATTTATAATTTTATTATTTATTTTATCATTATATTTTTATTATTTACTATTTACTATTAGTGAGTGAGTTACTAATAATGCATTCCTCATATCACATAGCATATTGTCTTTTTCTGCACGGCAACACAGCAGCATTACTTTCTGTGCAACTCAGGGTAAATCCTTTGACCTTTCATTGCATTCATTGCCCGGGATATCAATGAGTATGTTCCTTTGAAAAACTCTACATTATATTTCAGTTTTTCAAGTATGATTTTATTATCACAAAGAGCTCAATTTCAGTTTTCTACACTGAGTAAATATTTAAGGGAATCATGAAAAAGTTCTGCCTACTTATTTGCTACATTCCAAAATGTTCTCTCCCCATCTGTCATCCTCACTAATTCTTCAAGTTTCTTCTCCAAATATTGCTTTAGTGTTCTTCGTATTGTCTTCATTTTCCTCCGATGAGATATACAGATATGGAAGCTAGAGAGGAGAAAGTAGATAACCCACACTGTAGTATTTATAGTGCCACTCTTTTAAGAATTATATTTTCTGTTTTTCTGGGCACCTTTCCTCATTTTCTTTGTTGCAACCATTATCCCATCCCACTTCTGTTCATTTCCTCCCTGTCAGCACTGTAACCCAGATTTTCAAAGGACTTTGTCTTTTTCCCAAAGGGGAAAGGAAATCAAGGTGATCGCTTTGACATGGGAATAACTGACCCAGTATTTATTTGGAGGGAGAATTCACTCACAGGAGTACAATACTTGCCAATACTACCACTTCTGTCAGGAATGTCAAAAACAGAATAATCTCTCGGTTCTCAGCCTTCTTTGGATCATCTTCTGGTTGGGAAAGGACAGAAAAGAAAATGAGTTTTGGAGGAGAAAAAAGTAACAAGGGATCTTTATTGAAGACAGACATTAAAAAGTTTCACTGTTGACTGTTTCATCCACGTTTTTTGACTTGTGTTGTCAGACTCTTAGACCTTACAAAACTTTTGCCCTGCTGCCATCTGCCCAAGCATTCCATTTCTCCTCTACCTTTTTATTTCTGACAACTCTCAGTCACTGCCAAGTTGTCCGTGCTGGTACAAATTTTGCTCAACATTTTAGTTATTTTGTGACATAATTATAATTTACATAAAAAGTACTCAACAAAGAATTGTGGAATAAATCAATGCCAAAAAAACAAACCAGAATAAAACAAAACCCCAAAAAACAAATCTTTGATTTCTAGACTCTCAAATCACCTCACTACAACCTATGTTACCTCCACAGTATTCTCCTCTGAAGCACTGACTGGAGATACGCAGACAGGTCCAACAATCGAGGATGGGACCTTCAGTCACAACTGGATAGGAAGAACAACATAATCAGAAGGGAACTGTAGCAAAGGAGTTACTTTTTAGATATGAAGTGTAGATCTGATTCTCAGGGGAGATTAGATTCTCAAGACTCTTGTGTTAAACTGTTCTCAATTCCTCTTCCCCCTATTAATTGAGTTTCTATAAATTAAGTTGGATCTCTAAGGAAGAATTGGGAAAGATGATGCCTAAGTTCATACTGGGGGAATAGTTTGGAACCTGTGAAGGAGACCTCTGAGGACATCCTAAATCTGTGCATCTTAATAATGTAACCCCAATTTTTTCAGAAGCTAGATTTTTGTCATCAAATATTATTAATATTCCCCATGTAACCACAGCTCTGGGATTTGGTTTTTGGTGTGACAGGTGAGAGAGACAGAAGCATCCAGAGCAAAAGAGATGAGACAACAGCCCGAAACCTCGAGGTATCACATGTACTGCACTCACTGCAGTCTTCAGAGCAAGCTGGAAGAGAAGCAGAAAGTTCTAATGAGCTCAGACAATTCAGAGGCCATCATATTTACATTTCTTTTTTAATCTATTAAGTTCCAGGTATTCCTCCACCCACTCTAAATGTCTATTGTCTGGGCCATTGATCCCCCTCTCACCCCCCCCCCCATTTTCTATTCTCTTCAGAAAATTTCAGTGTCGATAAAAAAATTTCCTTTACCAAGTTCGGAGAACTCCTTTAGTGTTTCTTTCATTTTGGATTCCAGGTTTTGTCGGATATCAAGCAGCTTGCCTTGAAAGATAAAGACACCTAAGACAAAAATGAATGAGATTCGGATATCAGAGTGCCCTTCTTTTCAGAATTCAATTCTGAATTCTTGCTTTATCTTGTGTATTCCACCCAAGTTTTCTCTCATTTGCTTTGGCAATACAGACTTTTGTACATGAAACAGAACCTTACCTTTCCACGTTTCATTGCCCAGTCTATAAAATTCATTCTTCAGCCATGTTCTCAACTTGACCACCTTTGAAACAGCTGGAGCGGATGGAGAAGAATACACATGAGGGAATAATTAAGCTCAGGGAGGAAATTATGAGGGGCCAGTCCTTCTCTTCCCTGCCTCCCCTCCATTAATCCCCCATAAACACTCAGGCACTTGCGCTTTCCTCACCTAACACACGAAGCATCTTGTCCTTGTGGGACACCTTAAAGCTTAGACGAATCATTAGTTTAAAGTGCCTTTCAAGCAGTTGAGTTCGGCCAGGGACATCCAGGGGTACCATATTTGCCAGCAAGTTCCTAACATCGTCTATGAATTTGGGGTCACACTCCAGACAGCCTTTGACCCCATGAATGGCTCCCAAGGACAGGGGCAGGAGGAAAATTAACCACAGGCTGCCCATTTTCTTCCCCCACTCCCTCCCACAATGGTGGATTGTCCCCGTAACTATTTCACTTAGGTTTTGTTTTTGTTTTTGTTTTTTCTACAAAAGTCCAGGAGTGAAAGCGTTGTCCTGCTTATTCTGAGTTCAATTTTTCCCTCCCACTTTTAGAAACTCTCATTTCCCTAAGTATCTTCTGTTGTTTTCATCCCAGAGAGAACTAAAACTTCCAGCAAGAGAGTGATTATGTGAGTTCTGAGTGTAGAACACAAAACAGAGAGAGAAGCCTGAGATCACAGAAGCAGAGTTCTGGGAGGAGAAATGGCTCAGAAAAAGTTTCCTTAGCTCTCTTTGACTTGTATTGTTAGTATGTTTGCACCTCTCCTGCTCTTTGGACAGAGATGAATGGTAGGAGATATCTCATAGTACCTTAGAAATAGTGTAACACAAACTTTTCCTATAGAAGAGATAAGAAAAGCCAAAAATATGGAGCTGCTTGTGTCTCAGTCCCTTTTGGTATCAATGTTGTTGAGGAATAATGAATGGGCATCTATATACAGTAGAAAATGATAATTTTGTTATAATTGATTATTTCTCAGAAATTTCCAACTACATTTATCTGTTGGATGATTCTTTTCAGCAATATTTTGTAAAATTTTATAGCATTCCTTTTAGAGAAATTGGAGCTGAAGATTAAAAATAGCAATTCAGGAACAGACAGTGATGAATGGGAAATCATTAATGTGTAGGAGTTTTTAGCAGATGCACCATGAAATACTAATGATGGAATATATAACAAATAGAATATAACTAGTTATCATGGGATGCACTTTCAGGGCATTTACATGGAAATTGGCTAAATAAACATGTCTTTCAGTTTTGATTCTTTAAATAAGAATGTTCTTTGTTTTCTGAATAAATAAAGACCACTTTGCCTATTTTGAAAATATTGGTTATCTCATTTTTAGTATGTTGCATGTATGGTAATTATACCTTAGAAGCCAGGAAACCCAGGCACATACAACATTTAAGAGTACAATTTCAACCTATTTGAAGGATAGTCATGGAGTAAAAAGTGGTGAGGAAAGGTAAAAGAAATTGTTACATACCTGTCATGAACAGATAGCTACTAAACTCTTCAACTAAATTACCATGTCTTCATGGCATTCTAATGCTTTGAAGTACATGTAAAACTGTACAGAAAGATGACAGCACTGACCAAGTTGGGGGGAATTTCTTATAGATCCAGGAGACTAGAAACAATGCTATTGAGTATATTGTGATAAGGAAAAACCCAGTAATGTTCAGGGATGGTCGGGGGTGGGGGGGAATTCTGTAGGTACTCATAGAACATAAAATAGTCAAAATTATCATGGGGTAAGTTCTTAGAATTTTATAAATATAAAACGCTTAAACTAAGGAAGTATATCTGTCTGGGAGTTGATTAATAATATAATCATATTACTTAATTAAATTAATAATGCTTATGCTTCAGAAGTGACGTGCTAAACGGGGGTTCTGGACTGATTGTGCTAGTATTGATTAGGATTGGCATAAAGGGGATACAATGTCTAATCTGTACAGATTTATAGAATAGTTGAATTTATAGCTAGTTTAAATCATTGCATTTGTGATCCTCATACAGATATGGTAATTATGGGAAGTTGTTTTTGTATTCTAAAACTAAAAGAAATCAGTTATTTTGTGTGCTTTAGATTTTGATACACATTATATAATGCACTGAGGTTTAAATACAAAGAGCAAGTCTTATACAGAAGAGCAAAGATTTTTGCACAAAATTTTCTTCATCCCATTGTAAATCTTATTCCAATATGGAGTTATGGTTCTTTCAAAAGAAACAGTTACCTAAAGGATACGTTTAAATTATTGAGCAATACAGATTTTTGCTAATATTGCCTTTTATTTTTCTCCAGTGAGGTGAGAATTAAGGTATTCAGAGAAAGCTTGGACCCACTATAGAATATAAAGAGTTTGTATTTCCTTTGTGTAATTGAGAATCTTGTCAATAGATGTATGACCGTGCTCTTTTAGCACTCATATTATTTGGTTCTCAAGCAAAGTCTGGATAGCACCATTGTATATAATAGGAAACTAGTGTTTAGAGAAATCAAGGGTTATGTAGAAAATTTTATGCTTATACAAAATGTCTATGCACAGTGCTTCTCAAGGAGCAAAATATTTTCTGTACATTATGAATCCAGGCTGCCATGATCACTGCCTGAAATGATTAAGAATTTAATAATTCTTAGGGACCATCTAGGAATTTTTTGTGTGTTTGGGAAAAGAAAGATCACTCATTCTGGCTTCTTATTAGTGTTTACAATAGATGGAATCTATAATTTCAACCATCTTCTAATATTTCTTCATGCTGAATTCTTTTTTCCCTTTCTTACAATCACCTGTAGAGATAGCCTGAAAAATATTTATATTCAACTACAACTTGTTTGTCTTATGCTGGAAGAACACAATTTTCCTTAATAGTCTGAATGAAAATTCATAAATGCTAACTGAATTTCCCTTAAATAAATACTGGGAAATTTTGTATTTCTTTTTCCTCCCATTAAGGTAAATCAAAATACAATAATAAAAATTGTAAGAACACATTGCACCAATATTAGTAAGGAACACTATTGGTCATATGGTCTAAAAGTATTCTATTCTTTATGTCTGTGATCTTATAAAACTCTTCTAAAACACTAAAAAACACTAGGGCTGTTATTCCTCATTTAGGGGTAGAGAACCGAGACTCAGTGGCTCAGTATTTTGTATCTGACTGCAAAGCTCTTCAGTGGTGGAGCTGTTTCAATTGATATGCGTTTGATCCGATGAGTGGTTGCATATTTTCATCTGATTTCCTACCTAGTATTCTTTTAGCCTCCAAATTCTAATTTTTATTAATAAAATTGAAAAAAAAAGTCCTACAACTGTGCAAAATAGACTGGCATTTTGAATACATGACTTAATGGAAATGGTATTGTGTCCTAACATACGGTGATGGTTCAGTTCTAATTTTGGTTCCCGTAGTAACTAAAGTATAGAGTCAAGGAGGAAATCTCAGTTTAATTAAAACTTTGTGGTTACTACCTTTTAAAAATTAATTTTACTGTTGATAATTCCTTTTCCTTGCACTACCTCTTGTTATTATACAATTCAGTATGCTGATCATTTTCTTTGCAGATTTTTATTTGTCATATGGTCTTGAAATGTTAATGTAATGGCTTCTTTTTGATTTGCTAAAATGTTAAATAAAACTTTCTGTATAACTACAATTCTTTTATGCATTATATGTCTAAGTCTTAATATTAGGTTGTGGGAAGTTAAGTAAAATTCTGTTACATATTGTGTAGGACCTTGGGAATGAAGACCTTAATAAGACTTACTGTTTACCTATTATCACTGTAAAATGACATGAGGAAACTGAATGAGCTAAGGAGGCAGGATGACTTTAGATCAGTGGAGAAAGGTAATCTTGGTGGAGTGCATGATTGATTTTAATAATTGGAATGAGCTACATAAGAAAGGTGTGGAACCTCCATCCATTGCTGCATCAGAGTTGCTAACCTTAGGCTCAGCAGAATTGGAAGCCCTCCTGACATAGCCACAACAATACTCAGAAAATGATAACGAAAGATTTCTGCCTTATATTAACTATTCCTTAAATTTACTGAAAGTATAACAACAGATAAATACTCATTTTTTTTTTTCAGAGTAGAATTTCTGGTATTCCATTTCCTAGATTGGAAAGGACTTTGTCAAGTTTTGTATTCTACAAGTTAATAAGTCATTTTAAATATGTCAAATGAATTAAAAAAACTACTTCAAATAACTTTTTTTCATAGGGAACTATTTTAGAGAAAAATACATCATAACTTTTGATTGCAGCTATATGAGAATTTCACCATAAACATGCTCTAAAATTGTTTCTCTTATGCCTCAAAAAAAGACCTTTGCAGAGTATGCATGGACCACTTTTCATTTATGTCAAGTTTAGTTCTTAGAAGGTGGAAGGGCATATGCAATAAAATGGTCATACATTATCTTATTTGCAGTCTGAGTTTTATGAGCTCCCGTAAAACAATTACTATATATATATATATATATATATATATATATATATATATATTTTTTTTTTTTTTTACAATAAATGGCCAAAGTAGCTGCAAACAATATCAAAAAGTCAATAATTAATTCCGATTTCCAAATGTAACTGAGACAATAGAGATTTCTCTTCTTTTCCAAAGAGATGGTTTCTTTGTTCAGGATATGCAAGCATGTTAATTTGTTTCTGTGTGGTTTCTCTTTTTCTAAAGCTTGTCTAAGGTTTAATTTATGTGCAAGACTGAAAGCTGTTTAAACGGATAATATGCCTCCTTCATGAGAAATACCACCCTTTATGCTCCATTAAATTCAGATGTTGACTCTATAAGCTATGTACCAATTATTTCTTTCCCGAAACAGCAGCACAGTTTTTTTTCCACAAAGGACAACAGATTATTTCAGGCTGCTATTAATCTCCACACAGTCCACGAAAAACACAGGACACTAGGGAGAAAACAATTGAGTTGCTATTTTAGCATTTGCAAAATGGTACATAAAGAGGAAATGAAAAAGCAATGCTCATGTGACTGCAATATTTCTGTTATTTCAAATCTCCCCAAGATAGGAACAAAACCCCCATAAGCTGATCAGTAATGACCTGCTGCTAAAGAAGCACTGCCTACATAGATGAACACGGATGGCTCTTTGCTTGGTTGGTCTTCCTGTTCTCTAGTAATTTGGCTGACCACTGTGCAAGATAACTGCTTAAAATATTAGTTGGATGGTATAGTGAGTGAAAATATCTATTAAAATATTGAAACAGGCTCTTATAAATCAGTAACCCTTTTGAGTGCAGTGATAATAGGTCAGTTCAAAAAGCAAAAACCACAATAATATTCTGGTACTTCAACAATATAATATATTAATATAATGGTATGAGACTCATTGAGGGGGCAAAACTATTATCCCTAATGTTGAAAGTGTTATATTTACTGATCTGTGCATCACAATTAAAGGAGAAAGAACATAATGAAAAGTCAATTATTTAATTAAAAAAAAATCTTTTGGGGCCAGGGATATAGCTGAGCAGCGCAGTGCCTGTCTGGCAAGGGTGAGGTCATGAGTTTGATCCCTGATACAAAAGCAAAACAAAACAAAAAAA